GAGCCTCTAGCAATTTGTCGACTGCAGTTCAGATTTCCCTGTCTCAGCACTGGCCCCTGTGGGTTTCTTTCTGCTCTAATAAGTTGTATATGTATGTGCATTTACCTGTCAGTCTCTCCAATTTGGGAATAGCAGTTTGCCATGTGACCTCACTTCTTTTATGGATCTAAGAAAAAGTTGTTGGGTTTTGTTTGTTTGTTTGTTACTTGTTAGGACAGAGTAGAAACTGCTAAGCTTCTTATATGCCAGACTGGAAACCAGAGGTTCACTTATCTAGTATTAATGCAGCCCAGGAATCTTATTTTTCTTCAGCAACATCTCGGTGGGTTCATATTAGGCTTATAGACCAAACCAAAACATTAATGTTTGGGAGTTTGACTTTTTTCATTTGAACTCATATTAATCTATTAATCTAGTCTCTCTTTAATGTGCAATGGTAAAACGTTTAGGTTCATAAGTATTTATCTTCGTTAAATTTTATATGTTTAATTCATTTCTCATGCTAGCCTGTTGAGATTGTTTTAAATTTCAATTATTTTATCTGATATATTAGGTGTCTCTGAAGCTTTTGGTCTTAAATTCAATAAGCACACATTCTCTTTCTTCTTGTAGAATTTTCCATCTAAAAGGGACCCAGATTTATCATATAGTTCACCCCCCTTGGTTTAAAAATAAGGAAACTTAGGTCTAGGCAGCAAGCTAAATAACTGTCCCATATTATACATTAGCTCATTGACAGAAGATTATGATGTTAGAAAAAAGGACTGGTGAGCAGGTTTGTGAACCAAGTCTGAGACACATATCACCTGGAGCACTTGGTGGGTGCTGGAACATTCAGCAGTACACTTGAGGTACAGTTATTCAGCCATAACCGAGCATGCATTACCCTTTATTACATCCACTGGCATTAACATACCTTGATAAAATCTATCAGACCTTTACACTTCAGGCAAGAAATAAAGTTGCCTTAGGATGACTTGTTTTTAGTGAACCTTACTGGCTAATTGTAATAAACTACAACCATTTCCAAGTAATTGGTAAAAATATTTGTATAAGCCAGTCTATTTTCCAGTTCACAGTTTCTACAATCCTCTTGAAAAATCAAAACAATTTCCCCACTTCCATTCTTCTGCTATTTCTATTGCTATTCAATAAACAAAATGAGTAATATATTGAAACACAAACCCAACCATCCAAAATTTTAAAATGTATCTAAATAACAGTTAAGTCAATGGACTATTTAGAAAATGTGAGGAGGAACATTGATGCTATTGCTATAATCAGATGCAGATGTATAGCTTTAAATGCTTTTATTTGGAAAGAGAGGAAATGAATAAGTGAATGAATGGGTGAGTGAATGAATGAACCAAGCATTCAACCTTTGGGAACATAAGGAAAAAAAATAATAAGAAAAATATAAATTAGAATATAGAGAAAAATAATTAAAAATAAAGAGAATTTTTACAGAAGTGGTGTGGTAATGTTTCTTTTTTTTTAAAGCTCTGGAAAGATTTTAGAAGTTAAATGAAAACAGCTCATGACTCTGGCAATTAAGAAGGCTTTGGAGAGCCTAGAAGCTCTTTCAGTAGAGTGTAGGTTAGAAAGCCAAGATGCAAGAGATCAAGTGGGTAGTTAGAGGGTAGGAAGAGGCAGCAAGTAACCCATTTTTAGAGTTTCAGCAACTGAACAAAAGGGTCCTTACAGTGAAGCCAGGTTGAGTTCTGGTACAGGTGTTTTGAATGATTCTTGGATCTTCAGGAAAATGCCCTTTGTTACTGATTTAACTTGCTAAATGAGGTTATGCCAAAAGTAATTTCTTGGCACAATTTTAAAATAATCCCTCCTAGATGGTACTTTTTCAATTAGTAGCATGTAGTAGACAATAGTAATGAAAGACTTCAGTTACACAGAATTTGTTACTCATTAGATTTGGTATCTAATATCCTGTTAACTCCAAAGTTCTCTATTTCAACAATATTTACACATTGCACTCCATCTTTAATCCAATCCAGTCCTATCCTCACTCTCTATCAGATCTCTGACAACTGCATTAATTTTCATTAATTTAGCACACGTAACTTAATAGTATACATCATAGGCAATAATCGTTGTTGCAAATCGTTTAGTATTTGTGAAAATGCCGCTACTGATATTTAAGATCTATATTAGCTAACTTTGACATAAAAATTGTCATGCCTGAAAAACTATGGACGGCTTGCTTTCCTTAGAAGTACATGGCCTACAATTGTTTATATCCGAAAATATATAGAGCCACTTTCAATAGCTGTTTTGTAAAAGAAAATATTCTTGTAGAAGCTATGGGTGGTGGATGAAGGAAATTGGTTAAAAACAAAAAAGTGTTCAAAAACAAGGAAAATAGTGCTCATCTCCTTTTAAGAGCTATTCAGATGAAAAATTGCTCGGCATGAGCTTGATCTATATGTTTTTCGTGGTTATTAGTAGTAATGAAGATACATTAACTGTATTCTCTTGATAATGCTCCAGCAGTTTCTTAGTACTTTTATCAACATATAAATTTTACAACTGGCAATATGGGAATTTGACTAGTACACTTTTGTTTATAAAAAAAAGGGTAGCATTATAACTCCTTCATATCTGTGAATTATGAATCGTGACTTGCAAAGAATCAGAACTAAAATGCAGTAGAACCTCAGTATTATGACAGCTCTTCTTTCTACTTCCACTCATGAGAACTGGGGATGCACGCAGGCTGCTGAGCAGGACACAGCACCAGAGGCGAAGGCCTTCTTAATCTAGAATTTATGAGTTCTTTTCATTTCATTCATTCTCTTTCTCAACAAACATGTATTCAGTGCTCTCTATGTTGTTAAGCTGTAGTATCTGTCAATTGAGAACGCTCTCCTTCATAAGGAAGCAGCTGAAAACAAAGTAAGTGGTGCATAATCACTGTATATCCTTATCTCTATTAGGAAATGTCATTTTCAATGATTTTTGGAAGGATATTAAATAGCCCAGTTCTTTAAAGATGAAACTCAATGCAGAACCATTTGAAAAAACTTATTTTTTTCACATTTCATTGAGTTATAAATAAATAGATCTTTTATTTTATGAAGTTGAATTCCAGGTTTTAAATTTGATTTGTCCTAGTTCCAAAGCAATGTAAGTCTCCAATACCTAGTCCATAATATTAGCTCGTACCATTAGAGCAAACTTTATGGAAGGAAAAGACATAGTGTTCTTTTCTTTTTATTATAAAACTATGGATCAGTTCAGTTTTAGAGTTATATATAGTAATGGCAGGGATACGGCTATTATATAAAAAGTAGGAGAATTACTATGTAAATGCTGCCAGATAGATCTGAGAGAAGAAAATGAGAGTAAAACTCAAGTTAACTAAAATCAAATAAGTGGACCCCTCAAACCTGATTTTCAGTTTCCTGCTTTTATGAAAAAGAAGCACTATTTGAGGAAATAAGCTTCTATTAATGATTTGGGTAATAAAAATATATCAGTATTGTCTTGGAGTTGGATTACCTCTAACAACTAAAGTAATTTATAACTGGTCTTCAAGATACTAGCCCTGGAATACTTCAAGATTATAAATCATTTTGGAAGTAAGTATTCATTCAACAAATGTCTATTTGGTGTCCTCTGTTTGCCAGACAGTTATAACACAGGTGCTGGCAAACCATGGAAGCTGAGAAAAGTTTTTAAAGGGAGGGGAGTGTTTAAGGGAGTTAATTGCTGCTGAGCTATAGAATAAAATAAGAAAGGATTTTTGGCTCTGCAGTGCAGAAGTCATTGGTGACTTAGAGGACAGGATTCAGAGCAATGGCAAAGCAGCCACAACCAGACCTTGGGCCAAAGACTGAGGAAGCAGAAGTGGCACGTTAAAAGACACTTTTGAAAAAACACATTTTGAGGAGGGGTAGAAGTGGAATGGAATGGTAACTAGCAAGAAGTGAGGGTTCAAAGGAGAAATTAGTGCGCACGCGCGTGCGCACACCCACCCACCCACACACACACACACACCATGGTTGTATGCTAATGAGAGTGAGGGAGAAAATGATGATGCAGGAGAGGGAGATGCAGGAGCAACCATCTGGAAAGGTCAGAGGAGATGGGATCCAGCATAGGAAGGAGAGGCTGGCCATGGCTCAGAGCAGGGACTCTCCTTCCACTGTAGAAGACAGAGTGACAGAGTAAGGCAGGTGCACTGCCGTTTAACACATTGATAAAACACCTGTTTGTGTTAGGCAATGACAGTATAGCAGAGAGACAAAGATCCTTGTCTTCATGAAACTTTTCTTCTAGTAAAAGGGGGTTAGAGGAAGTGGGCAAATAATAACCAAATTACTTAGTATGTCAGGTGATGCCAACTGCTATCAAGAAAAGTAAAGCAGATGAGTGGGGAAGGAGCACGTGGAGTGCTGGGCCGGTGGCAGAGCTGAGGGTAGATTGCAATTCTCATGAGCTGAGCTCTTGATGTAACTTCTATGAACTTACTTTGTGACCCTCAGACACATTGATTTTTCAAAATCAGATTAAATGTAACCTAGTATCTACATTCCAGGGCTTGTGGCAAACCTACTCTCAGCCTCGTTCCACAGGTGCCCCTTCTATGAGTAGCCCAAGACTTGCCCAGCCCTTTTACCTCTCCTCTATAGTCCTCATAGGTTTTAATCATACATTTATTTATGTAATTATGTGATTAATATACTTCATCCTTAGTAGACTAGAAGCTCCCGAAAGATAGACCCTGTTTGTTGAATGAATGAATGAATGAATGAATGGCATAAAGACTATTTCCATAAGCTACATTTTTAAGAATCTTGTTTTGTTCTTCTGTGGTCACTTTTAAGTTTTCACTTCTCACTTAGTGTAGCTGATATAGTAAGTGGCCATTGTTGAAGCAGGTAAAGTATGTTTTTATACCAATAGAGTATGTGAAACAGTATAAATATAGTTGTCTTCTAATTTAAATAATGTCTCTCCACCAATTTTTTTTTTTTGTATAGGACCAATGCCAAAGGCGCTCCTCTGAATATAAATAAGGTATCTAATAGCCTGATTAATTTTGGAAGGAAGTTGATTTCTCCAGCAATGGCCCCAGGCAGCACAGGTGGCCCAGGAGGCAATAGCGGCAGCTCCTCCACTGCCGGGGTTCCCACCAGGATGTTAGCAGAGGCTCCCAGGCATCATCTGCAACAGCAGCAGCAGCAGCAGCAGCAGCAGCAGCAGCAGCAACAGCAGCAACAACAGCAGCAGCAGCAGCAACAGCAGCAGCTGCAGCAGCAGCAGCAGCAGCAGCAGCAGCAGCAGCAGCGGCTGATGAAATCAGAAAGCATGCCAGTGCAGTTGAATAAAGGTAAGGAACAAGTAGTAAATCTAAAGAAAACACTCCCAGTAGAGCCTGGGATTTTTTCACCTGCCTGGGAGAAACCAACCACCTAGAAATAGAAATTAATGCAAAACTTAATTTTTAAAAATCCATTTATTAGATCCTTTTTGAGTTGGAATATCAGATACTGTACTGTTCTTAGTTAAGAACATTTTATGAGGTAATTTGTTAAGGGTTTTTTTTAACATTTATATCCTAGTATACTTGCATTTGAGTCCTGTGGATGCCCATAGAGTATGGCACGAACTGTCACAACACAGAACTTGAAATCAGTAGACTGTGATCTCTAACTTGTGTAATAATGCTTCTAACTAGCAGAGAATCTGAAATGGTGCGTTCCAGTGGCATGGGCTTTACTAGTCACAGCATGCCTCTGTACAGTTGGTTTGGAGGAAGCATGCCACTAGGCTTGCAGTCACTCATCATCGAGTTGTTTTACCTCTGTGGTGTACAAACGAGGCAGTTATAGAGCCTTAAGGGGGAGAAAAGGTAAACAGAATCTCAAGCAGCCAAAGTTAGTGCCTGAGCCCACGCTCTAAAGGTTAGAACCATAGAATGTGAGAGCAGAGAAAACTTGAGAGATGACCGGATCCCAATCTCTCATTTAATGAGTGGAGGCACTACAGTAGGTACTGCTGTTAGTGGTACTCTTGCTGCTAGGACTCACATAAGCTCATTTCTATTTCACGGCCTCTCCAGTGCTTCACCTCCCTCATGTATTTTATTCCTAAGAGAGCCCTTCAGGTTCTTACTCAGAACCTTTATCCTCTTAATTTCCACTTATTTTCAGAGACATATGTATCAAGTATACCCCTATTCATAGCAGATTAGAAATAGCTACATTTATTTTTAGTGGTAGGACTCTGCTAGCTATACTATAGAAGCAAGAAAAAGTAATATGATGGCAGGAAGTCCTCAAAAATCATTCCTAAGACCTCACAAAGCATAGAGTCTGTGGCCATTTAACTTCAGGGCACATATCCTGATGTGTGCATTGTGTGTGTCTTAAAGGGATTCCTATAGTATATCATGTTCAATGACTGGAGTTGACAGTAACAATAGTAATACTGAGTCAGTAATAAGACCTTAAACCATGTTCCATATACTCTGTTTAAGAAGACTGCATCCAAAATTATTATAATTTTAAATTACTGGCATTTAAATTTGTAAACTTAAGTTAAATGGGCTTTATTCCCCAGTGATATAAAATAATGAGTACTATTCAGTAAGCGTGTGTGTTCTTCATTAGTTGCATCACGTTAGCTATCGTTGCCTATATGAAGTATTAAGCTTTATATATTAGTATTCAAATTTCTATTAAAATACTCAATTTACCTACATAAGAGTATCTCGTTTAAAATTACATTTTTTTTAATGTAGAGCTGTCACGCATGATTTAAAGAAAAGGAGAGTTCAGATCGTTAACACGTTGTAAATGTATTTTAATGCCAGGAGACATGCCCACTTACAGAATGGAAATGAATGTTATTTTATATATTTCTTAATTGTACTGTTTTATTGTTCTAAACAAATATGATTTCAATATTGCTTTGATAACAAGCTGTAGTCAGTAGTAATTCTAACTGATGGCAGGCAAATGAGTCAGAGAATCTCTTAATGCTGTAGCTTAAATTTTCTGAGGAACCAAGCCAAATGACTCTAGAAATATAAAGTTGTGTCTCTAAGGAAATGTCAAGTATTAATATCACAGTAAGTGCGAAAGGAAGCGCACAAGGATGGAACAATTGATGAAAACTAAGTCCCCAGTTATAAGAAGACAACAGCGCGCTTAAGCAAAGTATTTGGAACACAGTTATCACTAGGGCATTTTGTAACTGATCCCCACGCTGAAAGAAAGTGGTCTTGTTTGGCAGCTCTTCTGTCTTTTTATTTCTGGTCTGTTCTTCTCATGTCAGTCCACGAAAAGCTTGTCTACCTTCATATTAAAGATAAATATTCCTGCTAATGCCCCTCCCTGCATAAAGGCTTGAATAAAATAGAGTAAAAGGCAAAGAAGATAGTTCGTACATATAGAAGCTAGTGTGAGTGGATGCTCTTCCTTCATTCGCTCACCAATAAACTGTAAGGGAAATCCTGAAGTTTTCTGACCCTTTGTTTCCTCACCCTGAAATCAAAGGTTTAGACTGATCCCTGAGGAGTCTCCCAGGTCCAGAAGTCTATGGTTCCAGATGTATTTGTTAACCCTACGATGAGAAATACTTCTCCAACATTGATTCTTTAACTTGGGGTTTCCCACAAGTATCCTGCTGTGCTGTGACACCAACAAATCTTCACATGTATAATAGCCTTTTTAGTGTACTCTGCTGGAAAATTTGAAAGTTGTTTTGAAAAATGGTTGTTTATAAAGATGAAAATGCTTATGGTTTTTATAGGTTAGTTAACTCACAATTATTTTTGCTTATATAGGGAGACAGTTCTGTGGAAAGAACAGAATTCATGTATATGTTGCTTGAAATGCATTCTGTAGTTTGTATATGTGTTGGGGGGGGTCGTAAAGGAAGGAAGAAGCACAGATGTTCCTCCATAATTTTCCTGGTGATATTTAATATGAAAATTAGTTTTCAGTCTCTAAATATACACTAATAGGTGATCCAGAAGCAGCAGAGTAAAGTGGGTAGCAAGCATAGAATTGAAAAATCTCTTTCAAATATAGAGAAAATAGGCACACCATTATTCAGTGAATAGAGAGTTAACTAAATTATGAAAATTCAGGACCTGATAAGTTCCACTAAAAGCTGTTTATCACTTATTTGGAATATTTATAGATTTTATTACAGTTATAGGAGAATATAAATATGTGTACTGTTAATTGATAGAGTGATATAATTACCACCCAATAATTTCCAAATGAGCTCGTCATGCCGTAAGTCATAATTGCAGCAAGTGGTCAAGGCACTGAGGGTATGTTATTGAATTCAAAAGTAGCTTTTTTACTATTGTATAAAAACTACAAAGGAAGCAAATCTATTAATCATACATTATCATGCATAGAAAATATGGTGCCTTTAAGAAGGCTTGTTTTTCAGCTCATTAATCTCAAAATGACATAGGCTTCAAAGGATTATTCCTTCTGTTGACAGTGACTGCTTCACGTTGAACTTTGTCATCCAGGAAGGAAATCAAAGAAACAAAAAGTTTTCTTTCTAAATGGTAGTGTACCTCAGTTCTTCACAGAATTTCTTTCCTGCGTTGCTCCTTTTCCTTTCTTTCCTGTGTTCTTAAAATGCACTCCTTTTCCCCCATTTCTTTTGTCTATTTTTTGAATTTGAACACTTCTTTATTTTAAGCATTTACTACAGGTCCAATTTGTAAACGAAATCTCGCCTATAATAAGTATATCAAGTTTAAAGGGTATGCAGTTCACAGATTTATTTTTACATGTTGACATTTATAAGTACATGTGGTAACTTTTGAAATCTTTTCAATACTTAATGTGAAATTAGAACTCGTTTAGGTCTTTATCTGATCACTGAAAAAATTGGTTTCAAGTTTAGTTAAAAATAAACTGTGTCTTCTATAGGAGGAAATTGATTTCAAAAGAATGCTTTTACTTAATAAATGTATATGTCTTCCTTTTGGATAAAGAATTTAAAAAATATATATAAAATCACACTAAAAATTGTGACATAATGAAATCTGCTCAGCAAAATCTTTGATTGCTAAAGTTTCCTCTACTTTAAACTGATAGAAACTTGTTTTATACTTTCTTAGAAATGTGTTGTTTCTTTTTCCATTAAAAGAAACTTACACAAAACCTTTTTAGGAAACACTTTTTAAAAAATATTTCCTTTTAAAAATATTTATATTAATTATCATGAGATTTGCACTGTATTTTGTTTTACTTTACTTTTAGTAATTAGAATGATAAATGTATTACAACATTAAGTATGAAAGAAAACTTGATCATTTTTTCCTTTTTATGAAATCTAATTATTTTTTCTTATGAAATGCAGGCGATGTAGTTACAGGAAGCGATGCTCAGGTTTCTGTTCCTGTCCAGACTCTAACTGACCTCCAAGGTACAGTTACCATGGCAACATAGTATATCTCTTTGCCTGCAGTATTATCATTGCCTACTCCAAAACATTTTTCTTTTTGCCCACCCTCCATTCATACTGTCTATCAGTTCACTACCATTGTTCAGCCACTGAGTGGCACTGTTGTTTAGAACAAAAGTCCCCTCTCATGTCATACCTTGGTGATGCCAAATCTGGCTGTGATGTGGGTTTTCTATTAAGTTTGTACCAGCTTCTTTCCTTGCAAAATATGGTCACTATATTTTGTGGTTATTTTAACATTACATTTTATTTGGTAGCTCACACCGAGGTGTTCTTTTTGTTGCATAGGTGCTCTGTGACAGTAACTGACAAATCAGTTCTGAGATTAGACGATTTATATGCTGTTTGTATGCATATAAATGTATGAATTAACCAGAGTGCTTGTTTTATTTTACCTAAAAGAATTACGGTTTGATTTCAAAGTAAATTTTTAAGTAAAGGCTTTGTATTATGAATCACATTAATAGAAAGTTCAGTGTGACAGATCTCCATGTGAGTAACTGGCAGTGGTATAAAATGAAAAGATAACATTTTAATATCATATTCAGGTGTTCAAAAATCTAGGGAGAAAAGTTCATTTAAGAAATACAAAATAATTGTAATCTGTATTCTGCATCTTCTGTGGAAGTTAAAAACAAATATGTAAAATTGTTTCATTAATTTTTTATTATGTAATCTTTTAGCTAATGCTAGAGGATTTCTGTATTAAGTGGAAGCCTAGACTAAGACCCTTTCAAATTCAGACTGAAAAGATAGCAGAATTCATTAAAATTCACATCATGTTTTCCTTAAGTTAAAATATCCACATAATATAGTCATGCTAGTAGTATTAAAATACTAATAATGATATGTCTTCATAATATCTGTGCTTTTTAATAAATTAACAGAAAAGAATATATTATTAGGAAATGAGTAGTCTGTTGGCTTAACATCTTAAAAAAACACGTGTACACTATTGCAGTAGAGGGATATGACCTTCTATATATAGGTCTGTGTTTCACAGGTGCAGCTTCTGGCTGTATTCTGATCATTGACCCAGCTGACCTTTAAGGGCCTTTTCAGCTCAGGGACTCCAGGAGGAGCTGCTGTTGACTCTTCTTAGTGTCTGTTAAGTGATATAATGGGATACAGTATCATGGAAATAGAAAAGGCAGATAATCTCCAAATGATTTCTCTTCAGACTTGTCAGTTATTACACTTAAGTAGATATCGATGAGATCATCTGATATGGTGAGAATTAATAGGACTTAAACTTGTTTCCTAAAATTAAAACCTGAGCTCTCCAGGCAACTCTTTACCAAGTATTTTGTTATCCCAAAGTAGTTTGCTAACTTATTAACTTAGTTTACTGCAGAGTAGATCTTTAGCTATGGAAAGAGAAAGCTGAAGTCAGCCTTGCTTATTCTGACTTCTGCTTCTATGCAATATTGCTCAGTTCATTCTTTCCTACAAACCAGAGCCACATGAACAGTCTTACTTTTTTAAATAGAATTTCAAAGAGGGAGATTTTATCATTTTGTTCAAATAACTTATTTTCTATTCTATAAGAAGAATCATCTCATTCATGTTTTTTTCAACAATCATCTATTGCGTGCCTATTATGTGCCAAGCTCTGTTTTCATTGGCCCCTTGCTTTCCTTACAACTTTAGCAGGTGGCTTGTGCATCAGCTTGTGCTTTAGGTGACCCAAGTAAGCCTATGTAGTGAGGAGCCAGTGCTTTCTTTGGTTACCCTGTTCAGAATTCCCCCTGCCTGTCACACTCTGACAGAGATTCTATCAGTCTGATAGAGAAGGCTCCGGGTGCTTTATGAGACACAAGGCCACAATAAACAGCTTTCAGTCTGTGATGATAACTACTAGGGCAGTGATGAGGAGACAGTGAGACAATACCTACCCTGATTTGGAGAAGTTACTTAGTGTTTTCCTTAACACACTTCCTACAGAGTGTCAAAAAGCAAGGGGAAGGAGAAGTAAACCAAAATAGTTTGTCGTGGCAACAAAAAACTTTCTAACAATCTATGCTTTAGTAGAATCAGTAATATTAGAAGTTGGAAAACCATCAAAAGTGCCAAACCCATTATATTCTCTTATATAATATTTCAAGATATATACTTAGATATACTTTTCATGTCAGGGTAATAAAACTATCGTGTACACTTTCTCAAAAATGTTTTTCAAAGTATTGAAGTAAAATTCAAGAAATGAAGTAAATATCAATACTCTCAATGATCCTTTGATTATATTTAGCCTTTTTTGCCCATGAGATTTTATATCTGTATATTTGCCTTTTAATGCACAGTAATTATATGGGTTTTAGTTTTTTTTGAAGAAAAACACTGAATATAAAGTGATATTCCATAATTTAGATCAAATAATTTTTGGAAAATTGTTGGAAAGTTCCATTTTATATCTCTCAGTGTAGGTTGCAATTATTTAAAATGTGCCACAGGAGAATTTGGGTTTTGTTTTTTTTTTTTAAGACTTATCTCAAAGGGTTTCTTCAAAATTATTTTTGAAAATTATACACCTACCCTAGAAACTGTTTTCCAGAGATATTTAGGAACTTATTCACACCAAAAAGCTTTAAAATATGATCACACACACAAACACACAGACATTATTTCCAAAGAAAATTTAGAATTTCCAACAAGTATGTAAGTATTACCATACAATGGACCATTAGGAAAGAAATTTAGATTTCTTAACTTATTGCCATAGGCATTTTTAAATTTTATATTTGTGTATATGTATTTCAGTTATGAATATAAATATATATATGTGTGTGTCTGTGCACATAGATGTCATTATATAACATCACGTTGTTTTTAAAAATAAAAAAAGGAGAAAAAGGTAAAATAATCTCCCTTCCCAGATAACCAGTTGACACACTTAAAACTAAAACACATATAATGTTAGACAATCTCAATTAAAGGTATTAAATAGATAAAAACCTCCCTTTTCTCCTTCCATTTTTTTCTGGCAGCCCATTTTCCTGAGAGTAAGTTTGTTAAGTTTCTTATAATTCCTTCTAGAAAAAAAAAAAATAGACTTTAAACTGAGAAGTAACCAGTGAGTAACCAGTTATTAATGTGATAACAGCTCACATGTCTGGAAGTGAGACTTCCCCTAGGACCTTCAAGAAGAAAGGATTAACAAAAATTTCCCAGTGCAGATGACAAACTGGTAGACAAAGAAAAGAGGTCTAATCAACTAGTGTGGGACATGGTAATGACCAGACAGAGACAGCTCCTACTCACAAAAGTGAGTGAAGAGACTGAAAAACCAAAATATTATCCTTGTGGATGACCCTATACTGGTCACCCTGGTTGTTATTGAGAAAGGATAGTCTTAAAGCAGAGCAAATAGTTCCATTGTGCTCTGTATGATTATTTTAAGAAGGCAGAGAAATACATTATATATAAAATTTTGGGAAGCATCAATTAGCTAGGAAATGCATTTTTGTGGAACACTTATTCCAAAAGACATTGAATAAATTAGTTGTTTGGAGACTAATAACAAGGTCAGAATTTGCCCTTTACTTTCAAGAAACCTCATTCCATTTTTCTTTAATTTTAGATCACAGTTACTATAGCCCACCTGGCACAGCCTTTACTAGGAGAGCAGGGTGGCACAGCTTTGCCCAGCATGGGCTCTGGAGTTGGGTTTGAATCCTGCCTCCACCACTGCCTTGCTGGATGACGTAGGGAGATAACTTACCCTTCTAACTGTAAAGAGAGAAAAAGAACAGCTGCTTCAAAGGTGGTTGTAAAAAGTTTCCAAAACACCCATCCCATAGTAAGGGCTTGAGGGTCCTATCTGCTCAGGTAGTAGTTTTCAAAATCAAATTATGAAGGAGCCAACTCAACACCTCTATCTTTTTTCTCAATAATTACTTCCAGTGTCCCAAAACCATATGCTTGCATGCAAGCACTAGATCCAACAGTGTTTCACCTCTGAGGTCAAGGTAGGGCAGGTCTATTCCATGGGCTTCTGGTACAACCTGCTTCCATTCGCTCTTTCGTGGCACCAAGATGTGTATTTTTAAGGAGCAGACATCAGCCCTCTTGCTGTCTATCGCTCAAGTCTGCGAAGTAACAAAAAGTTACCAGATAGGGGCCAGGTGCCTCTTGTTTTCTCCTGGGTCACTGTATAAAGTCAAAGTGATCTTCTTTCTGCGGCCCCGGTACTGGGCTTCCCACGCTTTTCCATTTCTGCTTTTCTGAGCTCTGCCTCCGCACCAACAGCCCTCAGATTTCGTAGCCGCTCGAACATTCGCTTTTGGGTGACCTGTGTCCAGCTCCCTCACCTGGTCTCAGGTTTGCATGGGTTCTGCCTGCCTACTTAGGAGCATATTCCACCCCTGTTCCTATTTCCCGTCGAGTTGAATGAGAGAAAAGTCATGTAAGTATTATTCATGGGGCAGAGTAGAAGCTTACTAATTTTTTCCCCTTCTTTCTTTCCTCTCCCTTAGCCATACTGTAGTCAGGGCTCCTCTGACGCCTATGAAGCTCATGCAGTCAGCTTGGGCTCTTGACAAATAACCTCCACTGATATGCAGCACGTAGGACACACAACTTTTAAAGTTTCAGAGAGTGAAAGAGAATAAAGAAATAAAGAAAAGACTTACTATACCTAGACACGGCCACATCTAGTCCAAATAGCACCTTTCTGCACTTTAGAAAAAGGTACTCCTTTTGTGTAGATGCAGCTCACACATATCTCTCTTTTTTTTTTTTTCCTTATGCCTACAGCACCTGGTATTCCTAGGTGGTCTCCTATCCAAGAACTAACCAGGCTCGACCTTGCTTAGCTTCTAAGATAAGACAGGATCGGGCACGTTCAGGGTGGTTTGGCCGTAGACTAGGGCACACATCTTAACAAGCAGAACAAGCCTAGATTTCAGCTGCTCCACTGGGCAGCCTTATGTCTGGCATATACGGTGGTCCTATGCCTAGAGCCA